TCATATTTAGGTCACAATGGCATAGGTACACTGACTTGTTCATTTAACTACTGATCCATCATCCTACTTTAGATCCATTGAAGTTGTATAAGGTTAGGATGAGGGTGTGGGTTTAACCAGGGGCTTTCTACCATTCTAGAACTACACCAGTTGCAACAAGAGCACTATCCACTATCAGTGAACATGTCTTTTACTAAAACTTTTGGAAACTCTTGTGTGAAATAGGTCTCTTTGTGCTTGTTCTAATTCTACTGTCATTTACTTTCCCAGGAGTCTCCTTACCATAAGTAAAGCATCCATCACAAGTAAAGCTCTTCTTCTCTCAGAATGGATGTTCAGACTCACTATAATGAGAACCCTCACTTTCAACTCTCATGCTCAAGGATGGAAGTTACTGCTATTTGCGGCACCAGACGCAATGCACCTTTTCCCACATGCCTAAAACACTTATGTCCTCCTTACTTATGATCTCTTGAAGGTTCTTTGACTTTTTCTTTCCTCTCTCTCTCTCCTCTTCTTCAATAACACTTGGTCTTGGTTTACTACCCTCCTCTTATACTCTTCTTATGGTAAAACCTATGAGGGATATCTTTCTGTGGAGGCTTTTCACTCTATATTAGTTGTTGCTCTACCCTCACCACAAGTTGGACTAACTCATTGATATCATGTAGGGTATAAATTCAACCCTGTCTATTATGTCATAGTTTGAGTCCACTTTGAAATATAGCAAGTTGTTATCCTAGGTTCTTCTCTTATCCCAGCCCTCAACATGAGTAATTCCATTTTTGGTCTATATTCCTCAACACTCCTGTTCCTTTGTTGGAGTTTATGGAGTTTATCCATTATCTCCCTATCATAGTAGGCTGGTACATGCATCCTCCTCAGGCAGTTCTTAACCTACATTCAATATTCTAATGGTAGGTAAGTGGCTTAGCCTATAATCTTTGACGTCAAGGCTGTCCACAAATAAGTCATAGCCTTGAAAGCTTAGAGAAGCCATGGTGACTCTACTTTCATACTCTATTTGGTGGCACTCAACACATTGCTCAACTTCACCATTCCCACCTAAATATATCATAACACCATAATCATCACTTTGCCAAATGAAAAGCAAGGTAGATCAATTCATTGGGCTCTACTTGATGGTGTTCTCAATCACCTCAATATGATGTATTCTAGGAGGCCATTTGGTAGTGGTCATCATTAGTGATGACTACTAGTTTTGACTCAAGCTCCCACTAGAGATGATGATTCTTCTTCTTTCTCCTATGGGAAGATCCTCTCTTCTTTTTGTCTTGATTTCAAAAGTTGACTAATCATGTCTTTGAGCTCACTAATCTCTCTATCCCTTTTGTTATCAAAATTTTGTTGAAATTCTTCCCTAAAGAACTCTCACTATTGGGTTTGATGCTACCTTGCACACTTGATTGACTCATTCTGTGTCAAATAAAAGTTTTTACAAGGTTTTTATCAAATATTTGACAAAGAAGGAATATAGAAAAGAATTATTCACAATTTTTCTTTGTTTGTGAAAAATTTCTTACTAAGAGATGCTAAAGGTGAATATGTATCTACGTAGCTCCCAGGAAAACGAGGTGAGTCACTATGGACAAGCTTAAAAACCAGTTCTTCTAGCCAGAGATTTCCTTAGAGTTTAGCTTTTCCCTAAGTTTCTAATTAGAAATTCGTCAAATTCTTTTCAAATGTTATGGCCTATAACAACCAAAAAACCAAGAAGGTTGACTAAATGCTATTCATCCTATATATACCACGTGATACTTAAAACAAAGATTTAAGAAGAAATTAAAGAAAGCAAGAAAGATCAACTAATGGAAATGTAAGACTGCCCTAAGGTGACAGTGCCAGTGAGCACTTGAGAGCCTCCCTTGACCACACTTCCACACTAAAGAAACAAAAAATTGCCTATTACAATGTTTTAAATGTGATCTTGGTGAATTGTGTGATGTTATGTATTGTTATTTGTTAATCATATCTTGTATTGCTATGATTGATGTTATTAGTAGCTTACCTCGTACTTGTCTGTGTTTATGTTTGATATTGGAATTATCAGCGATGATCGTATAATATATTATACGTGAGTAGATGATGTTGTAGATGTTCCAAAGGCATGATGGATTCGTGAGATGATGGGAAAAATTTAAGTTTTTTTAAAAGTTCTTTTGTTAGAATTTTGAGACAATATAATTCAGAATTATCTTTATTCCTTTGAATATTTTAATTCGTGAATAATGTAATTTAGACATTGCTTTTGGAACGTATATGATTTTCAATTATTTTCACACGTTTAAATATTGGAGTTTTTGAAAAATATGTTTCCACACTATGAAAGATTTTGAAATGTTCGGTTTTTGTAACAACTCGACACACCCTGAATTTGGGGCATTACATCGAACGCCTTCATCAAAGTTGTTACACGCTCTTACCACCTTTGCCTTTTGAAGTTGTGGATCTGCTCCCTTTTTCATCATGCATGGTGGCACGTCTCGCAACGATTCAGAGCATTAGACTCTTTTTCCTCTTTTAGGTTCATCGTGCGTGGTCGCATGTCCTATCTCCTCTTGAGACAACTATTTAGAGTATCAAAGTTACTTTTTTTTCTTTTTCATGTGCCTTGATCGAGAATCTTGGATTTATATAAAAACTTAAATTGTTAAATATTAGTTTATTTGTATTTCTAGGGTTAATAATGTAACATTTAGTTTTTATGTTTACTAAAATTATTTTTAAAAGTATAAAAATTAAAATTTCAAGGATTATTTTATAAGTTAAAATTTTAACTATAGTAATTTATTTTACAAAGCTCATAATTGATCTAAATTTTAATTTTTGTTTACTTTTTCTCTAAAATTATGTGATTACTTCTCATTACTTTTTCAAATAAGAGAACGTAATTTAGAAAACAATAAAGTTTAGGATAATTTGATCTGATCAAATTATATTTTTGAGTATATTTTATTTTTTCTTAGATCTTAAATTTATCTTCTTTAGTGTGGTTTGTATGCAGTGAGTTCTGTATCTACATACATGTGATATTTGAACTTAATAGATTAATGGTTTAATACGTATTTTGGTCCCTCTTTTCGTAGGGTCTGTTCAAATTGGTCCTACTTTTTTTCAAAAGTTCACTAAGATCCCACTTTTCGCAAAAACGATGCACGTTAGTCCTTTTTTAGGTTTAATACGTATTTTGGTCCCTCTTTTCGTAGGGTCTGTTCAAATTGGTCCTACTTTTTTTCAAAAGTTCCCTATTTTGATCCCTATTTTGATCCCTCTTAGTGAACTTTTCATATTTTGGTGAGCTGTACATTTTGATCCCTCAAAAGTTCACCTCAACGAAAAATGTACAGCTCACCAAAATACGAAAAGTTCACTAAGAGGGATCAAAATAGGGAACTTTTGAAAAAAAGTAGGACCAATTTGAACAGACCCTACGAAAAGAGGGACCAAAATACGTATTAAACCTAAAAAAGGACTAACGTGCATCGTTTTTGCGAAAAGTGGGATCTTAGTGAACTTTTGAAAAAAAGTAGGACCAATTTGAACAGACCCTACGAAAAGAGGGACCAAAATACGTATTAAACCTAGATTAATCTATACTAATTTAGGTCCGTACTTATATGTTTTATTTGTGAATTAGGTTTCATAGGAGCAAGTTAGGAATGCTTACATTTTGAGTTATTTCCTAGGAGAGCATATAAAGTGACGTTGCAAAAGCTAGACTGTAATTGATTCTATATTTTATGTATTTACGAGTTTGTTGTGATCTTTTTTTTTAAAAAAAAAGTTATGTGTTTTATTTATTTGTATTTATTAAAATGTATAGAGATATACATTTATTAAAAAATTAGAAAAAATATGAATATTATTTACTAAAATAAGCAATGAGTATATCTATTTTAACAGTAAAGAAAGTACGAATGTAATTTAGTATGATTTTAAGAGAAGTAAAAATAATTTACATTTTAAGAGAAGTATATCTCTCTTGCATTCCTTACCTTCTTAATGCAATACGTCATGCTCTTTCATAATTTTTTTAATTCCTTAAATAACAGTGGAATATTATATATTAAGATCTTTATTTGTGCAATTTACTTTTTCCTTACACATAGTCTTATGAAAACTTATTGATTATTTACATGATAGTACAAAATTTAGAGTTTTTTATCTTTATAATATACTACGACATACATAAATTATCAAATCACAACCAAATAAATTAATGATGAAAGAGGAGAAATTTGAAATTATACTTCTTCCAAAAAAAAATTCTAAAACCGATTAAAGTGTGTGGCACATTAATTAGAAACCTCTTTCATTATTCGTAGTGCAAACACCCATTAACTAATAAATTAATGAAGAATAAAAGCATTAAGGTATAAAATTAATGCAAGAAAGAGAGAACTGAATAAGGAAGAGTACAAAACACACACAACATTGGTTTTAGAAAACATTGAAATTGAAGAAGTGAAAGGGGGTGTAGTGTGTGGGCGCTACTACCGTTTCGTTCCCTTTCTCTCTCCTACTTCCTCTCTTCACTCCTCATCACACTTTCTCTCTCCACACACATCCCAATGTGATGTCGTTCTGATCTTCAATTTCCATTTTCCTATTCTTCTTCCCAATTCACGCTTCGCTTTTCCCCAATTCTAATCATACTTCCAATTCTCAGATTTTACGATTCTGCCCCTCGCTCCGATCCGAGGCTTGTCTCCCAGGGCTCCTCAAAATCAAACACAAAACACGAATACGAGTTAAACGCGTCGTATTGTGACCTTCGTCGCTTTCGGTAACAACGTGACTGAATTTGGAATTAATTTCGTGTCTTTTTGTTTGTTTGTTTTGATTTCGGGAACAGGGTTTTCACTGTTTCATTCAGCTTCCGAGCTCAATTGGCGCTCCTATATTCGCCGCGCGCAAAACGAGTCGTTTTGGATTCTAGTGTTGCGTCGCGTCGTATTCAGGTATCGTCTCGTAGCGTTTCTGTTTTATTTTATTTTTATTTTATAGTTTTTCTGCCCTTCTTGTTTTGTTTTCTTGCTGGCCTTAATTTGTGTGGTGGGATTTTCCGATCCATTGTTAAATATTCAGGTTAAAATCAAAAGAATTACACGTTCTTTGTTGTAAAGAATTACAGACAAATACTGTCACAATCAGAAACCCCAACAAACTTTGAAAGACAGAATCGCAGTTCGTAATAGATAACGAAAGTATATATAAATGTATTTTCCGTTTAATTTTTATTTTTCTCAATATTGTAATAACTGGTCAGAATCGCAGTTTTTTTTTTTAAACATTTGGCTTAATTAATAACAAAGTATTAAATGAAAAAAGTTTCATTTTTTTAATCTTTGCTTGGGTTATTATCAGTTAATTTGCTAATTTTGTAATAAATGGTCAGAGTCGATGATTGTTTTTGAAGCTTGGGCTTAATAATTGACGAAAGTATTATATGCATTTACTCTTTGCTTGCTTGGGTTGTTAATAATATATTGTCATAAATGTGTACTTTGTTGTGGTGACCGGATTTGGGGTGTTGGGTTGGTGGGAAGAATGAATTCTGTAATAAGTGTGCATGCTTGGTCTTTGTGGGTTTTGAGGGATGAAAATTATGCTGTGTTTTTTCGTGTGCAATGATCACGTGATAAGTGATTGGGTATATTTGATTCCTGATCGGGTATTATGGGTAAGCATGATTAGTATCGTGCTTAAGTGGATTGTGATGGGTTATTTCGCTTTTTATTGGGTCTGGAAAATTTGCATTTCAATATTCAGTGCAGAGCATCATTAAATACTCGGAGTCAGGTTTTGATGAAGTAGAGAAACTTTGCTATTGGGTATTTATGCTTTTACTACTTTACCCGATATAATATGATGCTTGTGATTATTTTCATTTCAATTTATTTACTGTTGTAATTCCTTTTTAGCTTTTAAAGTGTCTTCATCATAAAGAACATTCCTTGTTTTCTGTGTCGTGTGAATCATTTAATGGAATTCGGCTCGTTTTATCTTGATGAGGTTCGATGCTCCTTCCCCTGTGCAAAAGAGATATCTGAAAGTAAAGGAATAAAAATAAAGGGATGTGGAGCAGGGACTTTTCTTGGTTTTACACTTTTTCAATTCTGTAAATTTTAAGGATTTCCTTCGTGGTTGTGAAATATTTGGGCAGGAATCATAAAATATAAGATGGGACGAGTGAATAATGAAATTGAGGATGAAGTGCTTCCCAGTGATGTGAGTGCAGCACAGTCAAATGGTGAGAGTTATGAAGGAAGTACCAGTGTTGTTCTGAAGAAAGGGCCGTGGACATCAACTGAAGATGATATTTTGGTGGATTATGTCAACAAAAATGGGGAGGGGAATTGGAATGCAGTTCAGAAGCACACAGGGTTATTACGTTGTGGAAAAAGTTGTCGGCTGCGATGGGCTAATCACCTAAGGCCAAATTTAAAGAAAGGGGCGTTTACTGCAGAAGAAGAGCGGTTCATTGCTGAACTTCATGCCAAAATGGGAAACAAATGGGCACGCATGGCAGCACATGTAAGCATTTTTTATATAATTTGTTTATATGCCTTGTGTATGTAGTTGTAATTTTTTGNAATGGAATTCGGCTCGTTTTATCTTGATGAGGTTCGATGCTCCTTCCCCTGTGCAAAAGAGATATCTGAAAGTAAAGGAATAAAAATAAAGGGATGTGGAGCAGGGACTTTTCTTGGTTTTACACTTTTTCAATTATGTAAATTTTAAGGATTTCCTTCGTGGTTGTGAAATATTTGGGCAGGAATCATAAAATATAAGATGGGACGAGTGAATAATGAAATTGAGGATGAAGTGCTTCCCAGTGATGTGAGTGCAGCACAGTCAAATGGTGAGAGTTATGAAGGAAGTACCAGTGTTGTTCTGAAGAAAGGGCCGTGGACATCAACTGAAGATGATATTTTGGTGGATTATGTCAACAAAAATGGGGAGGGGAATTGGAATGCAGTTCAGAAGCACACAGGGTTATTACGTTGTGGAAAAAGTTGTCGGCTGCGATGGGCTAATCACCTAAGGCCAAATTTAAAGAAAGGGGCGTTTACTGCAGAAGAAGAGCGGTTCATTGCTGAACTTCATGCCAAAATGGGAAACAAATGGGCACGCATGGCAGCACATGTAAGCATTTTTTATATAATTTGTTTATATGCCTTGTGTATGTAGTTGTAATTTTTTAAGAAATTTATAAAAAAATATAAAAAATATAATATATAAAAGAAATAACAACAATAAAATATAAAATAATATAAAGAAAAAAATATATATGGAGAGTTATCTGCAAATAGACTATAATCTGACGTAGGGGTCTACTCTAACCAATGTGGTAGAATACAGTTTACATGTCTTTTGTTAGATTTCCAATTTTATAACATCGCTCATTCTGTTTAACTGTTATTTAACGGTGTAATAAGTTTGTATGTCAACCTTTTGGCAATATAAAGTCTTACAATATCTTGTAAGCTTTTTTCTGGATATTATCGGGCATGTTAAGGAAGTTGAATAACCATTATTGGTAACATGGGAGACATTTATTTCAACGCAGTTGTTAATTTTATGTGTTTGTAAGTGATTTGTAATTCTATTACATCTACAACTTCAATTTCAAATTATGTTAGTAATAATCTTACATATTAACGTAATAGAATGCGTCATGGTAACTGTTCATTTTTAAGGGTTAGAAGGTTGCCCGTGTCACATTCTATTGGATGTTGTTGGATTTGTGCCCCTTGACCAGGAAAAAAAAGAGTCTAATATTATCATGCCAAAATAGAGAAAAGACAATTGTATTAATATAGTAAACTTGTTCAGTTGATAATGGATAAGTGCGAACTTCATCATCTACGTTAATCATAGTGAACTGGACTGTAACTCATTCATTTTTAGGATTAAATTAATTGCAAAGAAACTCATTGCTTTTGCTTTTTCTTAATTCTCACGGCTTTCAAAATTGAGGGGTTTAAATTATTCAAGCTTCATGAGTACATATCTTAGTATTTTTCTATTGGAACATTTGAAGTATGGCCATCATTCAATGCGTCTAAGTTTTTATTATTGTCGCAATCAGTTTCTTCTACAATTGTTTCGTCTCAATATTATTAGCCCTTTTTCCTCAATCTGTTATAAACGTTTAATTTCTTTTGCTTGTAGTTGCCTGGTCGCACCGATAATGAAATAAAGAATTATTGGAACACCCGGATCAAGAGGCGTCAGCGGGCTGGGTTGCCACTTTACCCTCCAGAAGTGTCTTTGCAAGGTTTTCAAGAGAGTCAGCGTAACCAAAGCAATGGTGGACTTAATGGTGGCAATAGAATGCATCTTGATATGTTGCAGAAAAATAGTTATGAGATACATGGTGCTATATTTGATAGTCTGAAGGATAATCAGGGAATCTTACCTTATGCACCTAAGTTTTCCGATGTTTCTGTTTGTGGCAATATGCTGAAAGGTCTTGATTCTTCTTCTCAATATTGTAGCGTTATGCCACCAGCATCACCTAAGAACAAGCGTCTTAGAGAGTCAACAATACCGTTTAATGGTTCCAAGGATAAGAAAAACAATGGTCTATATCCATTTTGTCAAAATCGGGACAATAATTCTGATAAGATTGCACACTCATTTGGAATGCAAACACTCCTTGATCCTGGTCCCTCCTCACACAACTCAATGTGTTACAGCCATTCACTTTCAAATGGCAATTCCTCTACTTCTAAGCCAACTTTTGAGGCTGTGAAGTTGGAGCTCCCTTCACTCCAATATCCAGAACTTCATTTAGGTAGCTGGGGTACATCTCCCCCACCTCCCATGCTCGAGTCAGTTGATGATTTCTTTCAGTCTCATACACCAATTAGTACACTCGAGTCAGATTGTTCTTCTCCACAAAATAGTGGCCTGCTGGATGCCTTACTTTATCAGGCAAAGACTCTGAGCAGTTCAAGGAACCATTGTTCTGACAAAGGTTCAAATTCTTCTACTGCAACCCCTGGTGACAGAGGTGACAACTCTGCTTTGAATGTGTACGAGACAGAATGGGAAGATTACGCCGACCCTGTATCTCCCTTTGGTGCGACTTCAATATTGAATGAGTGCCCTGCTCTTATAGGCAGTGAGAATTCATTGGACGAACAGCTATCTCTCCAGACATTTACTGGTTAGTAATTTTCAATGTGCTATGGGGAATAATTATTGAGAACATTTCACATTTTATAAATCTTCACACACTTCTTTGGCATAATCTGAAATTTCTTAATTATTTTGGAGATTTCATGTTATAGTATGAGTCCTTAGGTACTTGGTAATACTTATTTTATATGTTAGAGTCGGTACATCACTTTGAATTCATTTATCAGTTTTAATGAAACGACGCATGTTAGGTTTTCCTTAATTCCTTAATTCATGTGCAGGCAATATTCCAAAATTAGAGTTTGTTGATCAGGTTTGGACTCCAGACAATGAAAATCAAACCTTGTCCTTCTTGAATATCACTCGTCCAGACTTATTGTTTGCTTCAGATTGGCATGAGCTAGGTTTTGGGCATGGCAAGAACCAGGCCATCACAACTGATACAACAACGACCCTTCTTGGAGACGATTTTGCCGCTGACCATAAGCATATGACTTCTGGAACTTCTCAGTCAAGTCAGGTGTGGGGTTTTGGTTCTTGTGCATCGGCAGCCAATAATATGCATGCCCTCTGTCACCTATCCGATCTTGGTTAAGAACACTTCATAGATGTGTGATTCTTTTAACAAGATTGTCCAATGTCAATATTTTCTGGACTGAAGAAGATTTTATGAGTGTGATTTATAGTACCAACAAAAGGGTCAGACTAATGCTTTCTTATGGCTTTGTCAATTCTTTTTGGGTGTTGCATGCATTGTATACCATCATGAATCTTGTGGACACAAATGCTTTTGCAGATTCTGATTAAATTGTTTAACTGCATTGCAGTTGAAACATTGGAATGCATATGGTTGGATGGGTTAAGAATGTTTTACATTTCTTTGCTTATGTTTTTTGTTTAAGCGGATAATTTATCATTTATCCGTATGATTAGGTCAAAAATTATTAATCTGTCTGAAAATATCTTAAGTTTCATTTATATTTTTGGGTCATGGCTAACTTGCAAAGTCTTAAAAATGGGTACATGATAAAAAAAATTGGCATGTCGCCTTTATCATTTAAGCAAAAATTTTCTTAATTCGTTCATCGTTTAGCTGGCTCATAATGGTAGAACTTGGTTGTTATCTAGCTAACAACATTATCTATGTTCCTCTTATAATAAAAATAGTTTAAACTGTTAAATTAAATTTCTGTGACCAAACTCTTTATTACGTGATGTAATATTCCGTCTTCATAATATTTTTCAAAGTAATAAGATCGGCGAACTAATTACTACTTGTGTCTATCTATGTTAGTATCTTTTTATCCATTATAAATCAATATGAAGTATCAAATATAGAATGAATACGTACCTCTTACTGTTATTACTATTATTTTTTAGAAATGAAGCACTTTTTTTCCCTCATCAGTCAAGAAAAGGATAAGACAAAAAATAATTAGGTTTAAATACAACTTTACTCCTTATTTTAGTTTATTTTGTTAATTTGGGTTATATTTTTTTTCAGATCTCAATTTTCATTAATTTGATTATTTTTGGTAATTGTTTAAATTGTTAATGAAATATGAAATATGAAATATGAATAATTGTGTCACGTGTAGTTTTACTAATTTTGTTAATTTTTATTAATTTAGAAAAAGTTATTCATGTATAAATTGTATTATGTGCTTAGTAGCACATGTCAAGTTAGTATCATCGTCAATGTGAGTGCTTTATATTTAGTTAAATCACAATTTTTGATAATTTTATTCAATTAAGTCTTAATTTTTGTTAATTTTATTCAATTTAGTTCTAATTTTGTTTCTAAATTTTATATTAAATATTACATTTTCATTAAATATTTCTTTAATTATTTTTGAATTAATTATGACTATATTATTGGAATATAATTATTAATTTATGTTTGATTTATAAAATAATGTAATATTTAACCGATATAAATCAATAAATAATTTATACCTTTTTTAAGATTATTAGGTATATAAAAAGATTTTCTATATTTATTTTGATTGCAATCGGTATATAAAGATATTTTATTTTATTACAATATTGTCACCATACTTCTTTCTATACATGTTTTTATTATAACTAATGTAAAAAAAAAAATTATATTTACAAAACTGTCATCACGTCATGTTCCATATCTAGTGGATTTTTAACAGGTATAAAAAATCGTTATAAAAGTTATATTTTATGCTAGTGAAGAATTAAAAATCAATTCAGAATTTGGTTTGAGAAACAACTTGGTTCTAAATTTTGGCAATATTTAAGGCTTGAAGGTGGGAAGTTAAGGAAGGTTTAAGGTTAAAACTACAAAGGGTATAATAAGCCATGAAGTGTATCAGAAGGAAATTTTGTAGTGAGAGGCTACAATGAGGCAGAACATTAAAGATAGTTAGGCAAGGTAGAGTTTTCTAAGTAAGAAGGAAAAATAGTCTTTTTGATGATAATGAAGCATACTAAGAGTTATATATCCAGATGAAAATTAGTAGGAGGTAGTTGGATCTTGTCAGCAATAGCACCAATTAAAGTCAAGAATAGAAGGGAGGTTCTAAGTTAAGTGGCTCACATAAGAGAAAAGTTTGATCTTGAACATGAGTTTGAGGATTTCAAGTGCCAAAGGAAGAAGTACATCATTAAGATTGTTCTTGTAAGGAAGTGTAGATAATAATGCCAAAACACAGTCAAAGGTAAAAAGAAGAGAAAAGATTTGGAGTAGTTGGAAGGGTGTTTGCAATATTTAGTGTTGAAGTTGTTAGCATAAATGGTCATGTTCAACATGTATGTTACATAAATGGTGGTTGTGTTAAGCATTCTGGTTTGGTTGGAGCAACACACTCATTTATGTTATATACATTGTAAACGGGTTAGATTGTATACAAAAGGAGTTAGAGTTTAAGAGGGTGGTTTTGTCATAGCTTTAATCGGCGAAAGACTACTTTGGGGTGTGACGTGCCTCATGGTGGTCAAAGGACCTATAAAGTCAATTTTGATGTGTTTCCTTTGAAAGTTTGGGACATAATCTCATGAATGAAATGGTTTCCTCCCAATCTCATTTTGGCATATTGTGGTACCAAAGAAGTGTTGTCCTTGTTCGAAAGGCTAAGTCAGTGGTTGCACATCGAGTGTAAATCAAGCTAAAAGGAAATGTGGATGAGTGTTGTCTAGTAAAGGCCAAAGAAAAATAAACACAAGGGATCACAATGGTGAAAGACTTTTTAGATGTGTTTCGAAACAGATACTAGGACTACCACCTAGAAGTGGTGAGGTTCACTATTGCATTGGTATTTGAAGCAAAACCAACGTCAATAGTTCCTTATTAGATAATTTCTATTGAGAAAGTGGAGTTGAATAAATAGATGAAGGAGTTGTTAGGACGATAATGGTATAATCTTGTGTGTCATTATAGTATCTGCAAGGTTGGTAAATCTTAAGGAGAAGTAAGTGTGTGTTGATCTATTCAAGTGTAAATTTTGGCTAAGGGAAAATTGGTTCTAATGAGTGAAAACAATGTTGAGGAAAGATAATGTTAATGTTATCTATGAGAAAGGAAGTTCTAATGGGTTATCAAGTTTATATAAGTTTTGAATGAAGTTTTTCTAGATGGTCGTTTTATTGTCACTAATAACACAAAATGATCATTCTTTTGAGTAAACAAAGAAATATGGATGTATATGGATCAAAGTTGTATATTGAAATGATGGTAAAATATGTTTATTGACAGTGTGAGGTACATGAGAAGAATTATTTTACTTATGACTTGATAATTGATGTTTTAAGGAGTTTATTAAAACAGTGAAGATGTTGTCTTTATAAGACTTAGTTAAAAGTGTTTAATGATCATCCAAAGCTAGAAGTGTGAGTTATGTAAAGGAAGTTAGACATGAGAAAAAGGAGAGGAATTATGCTATTAAAAGGTAGGTTATAGTTATAATTAATACTATAATATTTTTATAATATTAAGTAAGATTAATAAGTATTTTTATTATGTTTTATAATATCATATTAAGTATAGTAATTATAATAATGAAATCAATATTATATTATTATTATTCTTGCAATAAAAAAGTATTATTATTAATATTGAATACTAATATTTTATAATAAAATATTATTAATAATATATAATAATTATATTATAACTATTACTATTAGAATAAAGCTGAAATAATATAAAGAACTATTACTTTAGTAATATAAAGAACTATTACTTTAGTAATATTATTATCTGATAAATTAATTATAATATTATTGAATATGTATTTATTTATCAAACTATAATAATTATTTAAAATATAATAAATAGTATTAATAGTAATATTTTAGTTATTGTAAGAATAATTATATTATTAATATTAAAGTTATGATTATTAATTTTTTATATTTAATATATAAATTTTTTTAATTTTGAAAAGTTTCAAAAAAGAAAATAAAGGATAAAAAAAATCAATAAATAAATAAAAAGGAAAAATTATTCTTTCAATAGATAATTACTTTGAAAAATATTATGAAGAAGGAATCTTACATCTACGGGTGCGCAGATAGAACTGAATTGCATTGTACTAATAAAATCTGTATTGAACTAAAATCTAATTCGTCTAAATTGAACTGAGCTGTTAAACAGTTCAGACAAACTGAACTGAACTGTTTTTTGTTTTATCAAACTGGACTGAACTGAACTATACTAAATTGTACTAAACTACAATATAAACTAAGCTGAACTACTAACTATACTAATTTTAAACTGAATTATACTAATTTTAAACTGAATTGTATTAGTTTTTAAACTGAATTGTACTAGTTTTTAAACTGAATTATACTAGTTTTTAAACTGAATAGTATAACAATACATGTTCTTTTTAATTGAAATTTATTTTAATATTTATTTTATTTTATTCATAAGTGTCTTACAAATTAACTTTTTAATTATTTGATATTATTATTTTCTATTTTATTTATATTTCTTTTATTATTATATGTGTATGAAAATTATTTTATTATTATTTATTTATTTTATTTTATTTTATTTTTTATTTTTTTATTTATATTTATTTTGTCATGAATATTATTTTACTTTTATATTTATTTTTTTAATTTTTTATTTATATTTTTTTGTTTTATATGTGTANCAGATCTCAATTTTCATTAATTTGATTATTTTTGGTAATTGTTTAAATTGTTAATGAAATATGAAATATGAAATATGAATAATTGTGTCACGTGTAGTTTTACTAATTTTGTTAATTTTTATTAATTTAGAAAAAGTTATTCATGTATAAATTGTATTATGTGCTTAGTAGCACATGTCAAGTTAGTATCATCGTCAATGTGAGTGCTTTATATTTAGTTAAATCACAATTTTTGATAATTTTATTCAATTAAGTCTTAATTTTTGTTAATTTTATTCAATTTAGTTCTAATTTTGTTTCTAAATTTTATATTAAATATTACATTTTCATTAAATATTTCTTTAATTATTTTTGAATTAATTATGACTATATTATTGGAATATAATTATTAATTTATGTTTGATTTATAAAATAATGTAATATTTAACCGATATAAATCAATAAATAATTTATACCTTTTTTAAGATTATTAGGTATATAAAAAGATTTTCTATATTTATTTTGATTGCAATCGGTATATAAAGATATTTTATTTTATTACAATATTGTCACCATACTTCTTTCTATACATGTTTTTATTATAACTAATGTAAAAAAAAAAATTATATTTACAAAACTGTCATCACGTCATGTTCCATATCTAGTGGATTTTTAACAGGTATAAAAAATCGTTATAAAAGTTATATTTTATGCTAGTGAAGAATTAAAAATCAATTCAGAATTTGGTTTGAGAAAC